AGCCTGACCTCGAATGCCTCCAGGGATGGAGTCTCCAGGGACCCCTCTGGGCAACCTGTGCCAGTGTTTCACCACCCTCATAGCAAAGAACTTCCTAACATCTAATTGAAATCTACCTTGCTCTAGCCTAAAATCATTGCCCTGAGTCCTACTGTTACATTCTCTTGTAAACAGCTTTCCTGTAGCCCCCTTCAAGTACTGAAAGGACGCTATAAATTCTCTTCTACAGGATGAACAACCCCAACTCTCTCAGCCTTTCATTGGAGACGTGTTCCAGCTGTCTTTGTGGGCCTCCTCCTCTGGACCCACTCCAACAGGTCCATGTCCCTCTTGTGTTGAGGGCCCCAGAGCTGGACACAGCACTGCAGGTGAGGTCTCACCAGAGCAGAGTAGAGGAGCAGAATCAGCTCTCTCGATCTGCTGGCCACGCTTCTTTTGATGTAGCCCAGGATGCAACTGGCCTTCTGGGCTGCAAGCATGTGTTGGTGGCTCATATCCAGCTTTTTGTCCACCAGTACCCCTAAGTCCTTTTCGTCAGGGCTGCTGTCTGTCATTCCCCAGCCTGTATAGATAATGCAGATTGCCCTGACCCCAGTGCAGGACCTTGCAATTGGCCTTGTTGAACCTCAAGAGGTTCACACGGGACCACTTCTCCAGCTGGAGGACATCCTGTCCCCTTACCTTACTTTACTTTGCCCTGCCTCGCCTTGCCTTTCTTTGCTTTCAGAGGCGAGTCCCCTGTGTTCTGCAGCTGCAGCAGGCAGGCGTACTGTGGGGAAAAAAAGGTCTTTCCTCCCATCCTTCACCACAGAGAGAGGTTTTCACAGCCAAAGAGGAAGGCCGTCAGGTCACTGCTTCCCTGGTGCTGCTACCGCAGAGAGGTCTGGGTGCGTAGGTCCCAGTGGTTGTCTCAGGTGCAGCCATGCTCCTTGGCAGGGCTGGTGTGGTGGCAGGAGCAGGGGACAGATACACCAAGTTCCCCCACACCTTCCTCCATGGTGGGGCTGTCCCCCAGGCACCCTAACACACTATTTAACCCGTGGCCATGCATATCCTGTACAGAGCACCCGGGCACAGTGCCCAGGTGCTCAGTTTGGCAGTAGCTGTGGTGCCCATAGGGCAGGCATGGCCCTACCCAGCCACCTGGTGCTCCCAGCTCCCTGCTTGCTGAGGCAGGGGTAGGAGAGGTGTGGATACACTTTACAGGTAGCTGTGCCGGCAACACTGCGCTGCAGAATTAAGACTTTTGTCCTTGAGCTCTTTTCTAAACAAGTACATAACTCTTGCTTTCTAATTATGAAAAGAGACCCTGACCAGCTGAATATATCTCACGTTGGGAGTTTGTCCGTGAGAATGGACGGATAAGAGGCTTCTCGTACACAAGATGTGCCTGGGAGTGAATGGGATCAAAACAGACCTGGGAAAGTCTGTTCTCCCTGTGTGATAAGAGAGTGATTGAAGGAGCACATGAGCTAATAACAACCCTGGCTGCATAGTCTGGTCTCTTGTTTGTAATCCACAAATAGTGCTTCTTGCTAAGAAGTATAAATATGTGTGTCTGCCTGCAATAAAGCGAATTCCATTTTCCACCATCTCGGAGTTTGTCCGTGCTTCTCCACAGAGAGGCCACAACACACCTTGGGCAGGGAGAGGGTATCTGAGGGCAGAGGCAGACGGTACCATTCACACAGCATGAACAAAGCCCATCCTCGCTCCTGGTTCAGTCACCAGCTACACATTCAGCAGGGATGAGACCTCCTCTGCCACAGCTAGCAGGACCACGTGTGGGGAGGCCAGCTGGCCCCTTGGCAGAGCATAGCCTTCTGTCCCTACCCTCCCCTCTAGTAGACCTACAATCCCACCTCAGGGCCTGCCTGTGGACATCTCCTGACACAGATGCCAAGCCTCAGAGTGCCCTCCCTGTCACCTCAGTTGATGGGCAACTGGCACGGGTCAACCCACCAGTCTCTTGAGCATCATTCTTCCATCTCTTATGCTGTTACCTGTGTGCACACCCCTGAGCTCTCCCCACACAGCAACCCAGGACACACAGTGCAGCCCCAGAGCCCCCTGGCCAGGCAGGTACCAGCCAGGCTCCCGGGGATGCCCACAAAGGAGGTGAGATGTCTTCTGAAGTGCCGCAAGGAAAACCATGCAACCAGATTCACATAGCAAGTGTCTCTTCAGCGGGTTTGCCCCTATATATAGGTGCATCTACTGAATATATATGTCTTAGCAATAGTATACTGGAAACTGTGCCACGCATGACTTGATGGTGCTGAACTAATACATACAGAAGTATGGAAGGGTCCATATACCCTCTAAGTACAAAGTTCCTCCAGTCCAGGCACAGGAGGATCCAATTTTGGGGCACAACGAGTAGCCTGATGGAGCTCCTGGGGCACACACATCGTTGGCAACGGCCCAGTTTGCTTATGGAGCTGCCGGATCCAAGAGGAAGGACTGGTGCCAGACTGCCATGGGATGCTTGGGGCATCAGAGTCCAGCCCAGGTGCTCTGGATGAATTGCAATCCCCAGGCCAGGAGCCAGAGAGAGCTGGGGTGCCCGCTGCTCCATGTCCATGGGCTGCTGCAGGCTTGGGCAACAGGCAGCAGCCAGTGAAAGCTCTGCTATGTGCATTCCTCTCCTGGAAGGTGAAAATGTAGGAGAGGAGGACCCAGAGATTTCCCCTTGGAGGTGCAAGGTGTTAATATCCCACTGCTGGCTGCCATGCAGCACCCACAGAGTGTCCAAAATGCATTTCATGGGCAGCTGAGCAGCTCTGGAGTGGCTGTGGTCGGTGAGAGGAGGTCCCCTCAGTATGCCTCTCACCAGGGCTGGCATGCCCACTCCTCCCTGGTTGACACAGACAAGCCGCTGCAGAGCACATTGCCCACTTCAGGCAAGGAGCCAGGAGTGCCATCAAACTTCTCCCTGTGCAACCGGGGTCTGGTTGCCAAGGATGGGGCTTCCTGCCCCTCCGTGTGGCATGTCCAAAGCCCAAAACATCCGGAGAGTTTTTGCTTTTGCCCTGTAGTCACACAGCCTGCCGTGAGCTAGTGGCAATTCCCAGCTCCTCCTCCAGCAGGTAGTGGCTGCTGGATGGTCCCTGCTCCAGTGGGCACGTACCCACACACATCTCTTCCCATGGAGCCTCCTGCACATGGGCCAGGAGCTTCCTGATGGAGAAAGTCCAGCTGACGTTCCTCCTCTCTGACTGGGAGAGGGAAGGTGCTCTGTCCCAGTCATCGTCACCAAGAACACGCTGCGTCAATAAATAACCCTCGTCTCAGCCCGCCTTGTTCCTGGCCTTAGGTCAGCAAGCGACCGGGAGGTCCAAGTCGTCCCACGCCATGGCTCTCCTGGCTGCCCTTGGTGTCTTCTTCTAAGGCTTCACTGTACAATGAGAACAAGGCCCACCGCCCGGGCTTTATCGCTAGGTCCGTGTGAAGTGGCTTTGGTTTGCGTCTGGGGCTCCTCTGGGAACGGGAAGGGATGGGGACCAGGCTAGGGGGGAGCAAAAGGTCATTCTTCACTGGCTGACTCTTGGAGAAGGCGATGGATGTCCTGGAAGGAGGGACGGTCTTTAGTGTCCCGTCTCCAGCAGCTGAGCATTAGCTTATAGACTGAGTCAGGGCAAAGTATAGGCTGGGGAAGGTAGGTCTTCAAAACAAAAGGCAAAGATGACAAAGGGAGAGAGTTACTGCCACAAAAACAAAAAAGCAAATTGCTCCTGGGGAGCTCCATTTCTCCATGTACGGGGGCGGGGGGCTGTGCTGCTATATGTCTAGGGACAAGTGGATACCCAGATGGCACCTTGAATGGGCTGGAGACACCTGCTCATATCTCCCAGCCTAGTTAAACGCTGGAGTGGTGTGAGCCCAGGCAGTGGTGTGGTCCAAGCAGTGCCTTGGGCCATGTGAAGTGCAAGGCTTGCCATGCTGGTCCCTTCACCAGAACTCCTTCCCAGAGGAGTCCCTGTCCTATAACTCCCCCACAGACAAGCTCTCTATCTGGTCACCTTGAAGTCTTTCCCCAGGTCTCTGGTGTCCCCACAGCCTGTCCCATCCCATCCCATCCCATCCCATC